GGGAGGAAGTTTCCTCCAGATCTTTAGCAGACAGAGCCAGAGATCGTCTCTCCGCCCTACCATTCCCCGGGGGCGTCGTGGGATCTTCCAATAACAGTCATCTAACCATTGAAGGGGATGGACTGACGGGGGGGGGTCGGGGGCAAGACGGGTTATTTGTTTCAGTGCAAGTGGCCTCCATACTGAGGAGTTATTGAAGATGAGACGTAATACCCATTGTAAAGTGAGGGCTTGGGACTGGCCAAGAGGATCCAGGATACCAAGCCCTCCTTTCGCCTTGGGTTGTGTGACGGAGTCCCATGCCACTCTGCTTATTGCATGGGAGTTTTCGTTGTCTCCTCTCCACAGGTGGGCTGCCACTTTAGGTCAATAGTCATCCATAGTTTTTCAACCTCTCCTTTAATTCTCTTGAGCTTATTCAATAGTTCTCAGATTGATTCTCAACCGGAAAAAAAAGAAAAAAAAAGAAAAAAAAAAGGTTGGACTTAGTGCCTCACTTTCTAATGTACTTACGGATAGTAAATTTACTATTTTTCGTGTCTCCCACCTTGTTCCGCGACCGAAGGAGGCTCGGGTAGCAACTGAGGGATGTGGAAACATGAGGAGACGTGGCCTCTAGGGACCGAATGTCGGGAGCCTCCTTTGGCCGAAATCGGAAAAGGAACCCGCCTGTACTCGGTTCCCAAAAAGATGGCATGTTCTTATGATTTTTTTTTTCAATTTATTGTTTTGTCCATTCGCGGGCCTGGTTGGTCCGTGGTTGTACTTCCCAAGAAAGGTTGCCCCCACATACGTAAAATTTTCTTTTTTTGTTTTTGTTTTTGGGAAAACAACCCGAGGTAATGCTAGGGTTGCTGATAGGAGCAGGCACCACTAGCACTCTCGGGGAGGCTTCATCTCGGGGAGGCCTACCTACAAAAGAACTACTGGTTTTGGATATAAAGAAACAGTATTTGTTTTTTTTTTGTTTTTTTTGTTGAAAAAAACACCTTCATTTTATTACCACAAAAAGGTTTATCGAGGCCGGGGTCCTCACAATTCTACCCGGTGCTGAAACTACCAACAATTTGGGTACCAGACCAACCTGGCGGACAACAGCAACAAGCCAGACCAACCTGGCATTCAAAACGAAGATCACGGCCAGGCCAACCTGGCACAACAACAAAGGGACTTTGTGCCACTACCAGCTATCAACCAGACCAGCCTGGCGACATTTGCAGACTATCCTAGGACGCGGGGGAACGACCACTTAATAGGAGCGACCTCTCTGACCCTACCGCGGGTCCGAGGTCTAACATGCCGATACCGAATGGCCTGAGCCCACCGAGTGTCCAGGTTTACTCAGTTAAGCCAATACTCATTAATCCTACCCCAACCCCAGCTGCTAAGTTAAAAACCCTTACCTAGAAGTATTTCCGAATGTTATAGTTATATCCTAACAGTCAATTCTTCCCCCTCGTAAGACCATACAGAAAACAAGCTGCTACTGCTCAAGCCACCTTAAGCCATGGGGACAACACCAGTTTCCCTGTCTCAGAGGAGACCGGCGCCAGTCGGTTCTTCTTAGCCCAAGACCGTAAGAACCACAGTCTTACTTTGGATCTTTGAGGTTCGGCCTGTGACAGCACCCGTCGTCGCCAATCCACCACCACTATGTGTCTGATGGTAACCTTCATGCCTTCCCTCAGTTCATTGTCTGATAAATATCTATTATGGAACAGCACCGAGTTCCGTTCTTTCCATATCCACCAAATCGCCACTGCCCGCAGCGCCGTAGCTACGTAGCCTCAACCCTTACCGTAGGCTAGTGAAGCAGGTAACTTGCCCGTTATTGCCCATTCCAGATCCCACTCCAATTCCTCCGGGCCCCCCATCGCCTTCCAGTGATATCCCCACCAACGCCAAATTTTGAAGGAGAGAGGACAAGTGCCCCGCAAATGTGTATGATCTTCAGGAAGTCGATGACAACCCACGCATTGCACCTCCACCTCCATCCCTTTCATGAATAAGGATACTGCGTCCAGCGGGGCCCGGATCAACCACAACGTTGATGCACATTTCTTGCTTGGTAAGCGCTGACAGACTTTCCACATATCCTTGTAGTAGTCCACTGAGAGGGTAGATCCAGTGCTAGAATTCGGATGTGCACTCTGTATCTTAGCCATTGTACCCATATATTCCTATATCCAGCCGCATTTGCGGATCGGAGTTTCATTCATAAGCAGGGTAGGTTGAACCGCCCCACCGGCTGAAAACTGTAGGACTACTCGCACTTCATCTAACAAGCACGGACCACTTGCCTTCCGTTCCTCCTTGAATGTTAGACTGTTATTATGTGGACCCTCTCCTGCTCCCCCTTCCCACGCCTGCATCTGGTCATTGTCAACATACTTCAGTACCTGCAGCTCTGATCCTACACTGAGCGCTGGGCGATACCAGCTCCCTTTGGACGCGGTACCTTGCAGCAAGCGTTTCCAATCTTCTGGGATCGCGTTAATCAGTTCCGCCTGCCTAAGACCGACATACCACATTCTCACAAGTCCCTCCCGAAGTGTTGTTTCGTCTTTCCAATCCATTCTAAGGTCATCCCACAGGTCCTCCACCCGCAGAACACCTCTCTCTACCCAAGCCCTCCCAAAGTTCCCGCTGCCTGTAATAGCGAAGACTGTGCCATCCTCCTTCATAACCCACTGATTCTCGAACAGAGGTTGGCGCAAGACTTCATCACGCGTTTGAGGCTTTCTAATGGGTGCAACAGCAATGATTGCCCAGGCTCGAATCACTCCTCGCCAGAAGACAGACTTCGGTCTCCGTCTCTGATATGCTGGCAGCGTCATTGCCATCCATACGTCCTCTCCTCTGGACAAGCCCCAGTCTTTCGCCAAAATGTACTCCGCTAGAGCAACCTAGCTGCGATCCTCCGTATCGATGGCTGCTTTAACCGGCCATTTAGAGAGCAGAGCATTGTTCTGCCGTGTAGGAACCAGCACCGCAAGACCCCCCTCCTCCTTTGTCGCTGTTAATTTCTCCCACGACAATTTGGACATACAACCCTGACCTTCCTCAGCGTCAGGCTTCAATATGTACTTGGAGGCCGCCGCCCTGATGTGTTGCGCTGCTTTCTTCCCGATGGGCCTCACAGCGAGCGTGTACCATAGCTGGGAAAAAACTGCTGCGTTGATTATCAAGGCTCTTCCAAACAGAGATAGGCCGTAGACCGTCTTCCATTTGCAAATCCGCTGTTCCACCTTCCCCACCAGCAATTTGTCTTGGGATTCTGCACAACTTTGAAAGGAAACTTGCACTCCCAAAAATCTCTCCGATGAGTCAGCCGGGATCTTTTTCATCCCCAAATCCACACACAACTCGTATTGATTGGGCAGAAAAAAGGCTGACTGACTTCGACCAGTTTACTTGAGCCTCACAAAGACCACAGTACTCAACTAATATTCCTTTCACCGCTGTTAGAGAGCCTACCGTGTTCTTGGATATTATTGTTAAATCATCTGCAAGAGCACTCCCCTTGAACTGCATATGTCCACGAATTACCAGTCCAATTATGTAGGGATTACATCTCACATTGTTCAACAATACATCCATCTGCATTACGAAGAGTAGTGGGGCCAATGGGCAACCCTGTCGGAGTGACCGTGTCAACGGAAAAGCTGTGGAGATTCTACCATTGATCATCACGGAGGCCGTGGCATGGAAGTACATAACTTTAACCCATGTGATAAAGTTCAACCCTATACCCATGTGCCTCAATGTTGTTATAACAAAGGGCCAACTTACTCTGTCGTACGCCTTCTCCAGATCCAGGAGAAGGACGACCATATCAAGTTGTTCTCCCTCAATAATTTCCATTGACTCGATTACTGCGACAATGTTGTCCAGTATTGACCTACCTTTTACGAAGGCTCCTTGGTCCACGCCTACCAGTCCTGGCAAGTACTCGGCTAACCTAATGGCCAGAGTCTTTGCCAGAAGTTTGTAGACAGTGTTAAGCAGAGAAATCGGCCGCCAATTACGTATATTACTTTTGTCCCCTTTCTTAAAGAGGAGTGCTATGATCCCTTTAGTCATGCACGCAGGCAGCGTAGTACCTGTTAGGGTCTCATTATATATTTGGACTAAGTCTTCCCTAAATAGATTCCAAAATTTCAGAAAGAACTCAATTGGGAGCCCATCTTCTCCAGGGGCTTTCCCTTTTGCCATTTGCTTGTCCCCTTTCTTCAGAAACAGTATTTGTGTGGAACCTTGCCAAGAGGCTAGGGCGTGCGTAACCGATGTTTAGTATAGGATGCAAGTGTGCCCTATCTGTGTGGCATCTTAGAAAGTAGAGGGAACTTCAAGGTGGAGTACGAAATTCCTTTCACGGCTGGCCCCTTCGTTTTCGTTTCTTTTACACTTTCACTAACCATAAGTAGGGTGGGATGAGGCCCTTAGGCCAGGCGAGTTCCGGTAAGTGCGATGGGAGACGATGCAACCCCTTAGGCCAGGTGAGTTCCCGTAAGTGCGATGGGAGACCCTGCAACCTTAGGCCATCCGCCGTGCTGATCCCGGATACGCCCAGGCCAGGTAAGTATACCAGGTGCATTCTGACGTTGGTAGTTGTTACAATTGTTTTTTTTTTTTTTTTTATATTCTATGCGTGTCATCCTTGCGCAGGGGCCATGCTAATCTTCTTTCTCTGTATCGTTCCAATTTTAACGGATGTCCCGAAGGACGTTGTTACTATTTCAAAACAGAACGGGTTGTTTGTTCACTTTCTCTTCCCGATTTAGATATTTTCTCCCTCCTTGTCTTGTCGTTGTTCAAACGGAACTTTTTCATATGACGTGTTATATCCTTTTTCCTTAACCCCGATCATCCAGAAGCAGTAGCCTGGAAGTTTCACTGCACAGACAATACAGCCAAACGGGTCCAAACCGACGCGCACGGAACGGACGGCCAGAGTTCGGCAACGCAGCTTTGCCGGCTGAAGCCGGCAAGCCGCGTCTGGCGACCCGTGTGCCTTCCTCCACCCTCTACCCTCTCTCTCTCTCTCCTCTCTCTCCCTTCTGCGTTCCTTGGCGCTGCATTGTCGCACTGATCGTAGTCGGCCAACGATCTGCTTAATCCAGTAATCCTGTAACAACACAGAGAGAGAGAGAGAGAGAGAGAGAGAGAGAGAGAGAGAGCGAGCGAGAGAGAGAGAGAGAGAGAGATCAGTTGTGAAATTGTCGTCCTGGATTGTGATCTGTTTCGGGGCTCGTAATCATGGCTGCGGGGTGCCAGGCGACGATGTCGGCGCCGTCGTTTTCGTCACACGTGCTGTGTCAGCTGCAGCAGCGGCATAATGTTACAAGCTTACCGTCATTGCCGGCTATGGCGGAACTCGTTGCTTGGGGGGGCTCCACGTGGCATTGGTGCAAAGATCGGAGTATTTCTGCGTCGTCTATACCTCGACCAGCTGATGATTCCGTTCGTCATCGCCTTCATCATCCGATACGGGGCAGACTGTCGTCATCAGCCACATCATCTCGCCTATGGATGCCGAATCGACGGCGGAGATCTGCCGTAGACACGGTGCGACGGCAGAATTCCCGCGCTTGTCCTTCACTTTATCGGCAGGAAAGCCAGACGAACGACAATGATGATGGCCGGTATCGGGATCGAAGGAGCAGGCGGAGCAGGTGTCTAGATACAGTCGTGATCGGGGAACGCTTAATGCCCAGGAGGAGCGGTGTCAGAAGGTGTCAGAACAGCGCAAGCTGCAAGGAACGGACAGTGTACGATTGCCACGTGGCAGAGCTTGGACGCGTTGCTGCCACAATGGCCCCCAGACGATCCGCCTCCTGCGCCTCCTCCTCTACGGATTTACTGCTCGCTTGTCGACGTGGAAGCTGCAGACGATGTGGAGATGGTCACCATAGTCCGTCCCGCGGTGGAGCTGGGAAATTTGGACACGTGGATCCTACAGACACTTCGGTTCCTAAGAGCGGCACCTCGATGACGACAGAACCAACCT